ATGGTCCTCGATAGACAAAGTCAATTAAGAGTACATCATCAAAATGTCAAAACTACAAAAGGCACGATTAAGAAAATTAGGGACAAAGCACAGCCTGGGAGAAAATATTTGCAAATCATCTATCTTACAAGGGATTTGTACTCAGAATATATAAACATTTTTTTAAAACTCAATAGTAATAAAACATGCCATTTTAAACTGGACAAAGTTCATCACATAAGATATACACATTGCAAATAAACACAGGAAATGATGCTCAACACTATTATCCATTAGGGAAATGCAAACTAAAACCACAATGAGACACCTCTACATTCCAGCAAAAATGACTACAAATGAGCAGACAGGCAATACAGGTTTTGGTGAGGATACAGAATGTAGGACCCTTGTGCACTGCAAGTTAAGAATGTAGGACTGTTTAGCCACCTTAGAAAACACTTTGGTTATTTAAGTTAAACATGAAGAAAGAATAAATCCACTTTACAGAGATGTAAGACAATGCTATCAGATATCAAACCATTCCAAGCTATCAAGGACTATTAATATATTTTTTAATTTAATTCTAACTTCAACATGAAAAAAGAAGTTAAATATGAATTTACCATGCAACTCAGCAATTCCACCCCTAGCAATCTACCCAAGAGAAATGAAGGCATGTCCACAAGTTTTTCATAATAACATTTTTCATAAAAGCCCTAAAATGGAAAATAACCCAAATGTCCATCAACTGGCAAAGTTCACAAAATATGATATTCATAAAAAGCAGAGGAGTGCTAATATATGCAAAAATATTCTGCAAGATGCAAAAACACAACACACCATATGATTCCATTTGTATGTGAAATCCAGAAAAAAATTAATAAAGGCAGAAAACAAATTAATGATTGCCTAGGGCATGGAATTAGAATGGGAATTAACTGTAAATGGGCACCAAGGAGATGTTAACAGAAATGTTCTCAAACTGGATTTGGTGAGATGGCTGTACAATGCTATAGTATGTAAATTACATTTTAATAAAGTTGTTGAAAACACATGGACTAGCTGAAATTTCTTGTTCTGATTTCTTCACAAGTTTTGAGATTTATTAAATCCAATGAGGAATACATTTAATTGATTATTCAACAATGTTCCCCAAACTTACCAGTCTTCTAGGCCCCATCTGAAGTTTAAAATCACATATTCTTGAACAGAAAGCCATATGGATCCATTAAACTCAAGTAGGAATCACAGTAGAAAGAAGCCCACATCCCGTCTGTGTTGAAAAGTGACAGCAGTTTGAGATTCTATTCTCTCCCTAGGGAAGACAGTCTGACCTTGCTTTACCCGTCTCCCATGTCCTTTGTGCACATTAGGGAACTGGACTAGATTCTTTTGGCTGCTTTTGGCCACTTTGACATCATCAGAAATGTTTTATTCATCAACCTTTACTACATGACCTTTACTGTTCATTCAGTAAGTCAAGAAGTTTCTCCACTTCTCTGCATGAAGACAACAGTATAGGACATCATCTGGTTTTGGTTAAATGACCTAGATCTGATTTTTATTCGCAGCTACTCAAGAGGTTCCCATATGGAATCCCTTTCTCAGTGAATTCAAACTTTCTTTCAGGAGGGGACAGAGATGTCTGGCTGGGGAGAAACAGGTCCTGAATGCAGGTCAGATGGTTGTCTCCTGTCTTCCCAAGCTTCTGGGGCTTTATATGTCTGTCATCACCCTGATCACAATCCACCTCATATGGCATCTGCCTCTCTCTCTGCGAGTTATTAGGTTTTGTTTTGTTTTTTGGTACTGAGGATTGAACTCAGGGGCACTGGACCACTGAACCACATCCCCAGCCCTATTTTGTATTTTATTTGGAGACAGGGTCTCACTGAGTTGCTTAGCACCTCACTGTTGCTGAGCCTGGCTTTGAACTCGTGATCCTCCTGCCTCAGCCTCCTGAGCCACTGGAATTGCAGGTGTGCACCACCGCATGCTGTTATTGGTTTGGATGTTTTCTCCATTTCTGAACAAAGTCTGGTGCACAGGTTCCAGGATGGCTGAAGTGAACTGGTGAGCTTCTCTACCCATCAAGAAACACTTATGTAATGTCACCTAAGAAAGCCATGGCTAAAGTGGTGGACCTTTCTGCCCAGTCCTCCTGACCCACTGGAAATGAGTAACAGGAGAGGAGTAGATGGGAAGAAAGGAAACTTGGTATTACTCATCAGCTGTTCCAGGATGGACACAGATCCAGGCACTTTCAAACGTTTTCCTGAGTCCTTAAAACCACCTAATTCGCCCACCTTAGAGCTATGCAAAATGTAACTGGGTGGGGGGGGCACCGTGGGAATGTGCACAGTTCCCAACTCCCAGCCCTTCCATTGGTTCAGAAGCCTGAGTGCCCACAGCATGCAGATTGTGCTGGACCCTGGGAACACAAAACCGGTCTCACTTGGTCTCCATAAAACTTGAAGTCCTAGACATTATTCAGAGTCACAAAAACAAGTGTGTAATGACAAACTCTGGCACACAGAAGCTCAGTATTCTATTAAGAAGACACACAGAACTCGGGTTTCTCTCGCCCTGCAGATGTCATCGTAGGCGTGAGTGGTGGAATTCATACACAACTTATGCGTATCTGTCACAATTTTGTGAACACTAGTTTAATGAATGAATGTTTCTGCTTCAATAAGAAAACGGCACAACAGAGTCAAAATGTGATTGAAGTTTTATTTCCCTATCTCAGTTTCAGTAAAAAGATTCAGAGAACTGATTGACACACAACTTTCACCTATATACAGTCTATACACACTGTTTGTACCTTGTCCTTTTCTTTGAACAAGGTGACACTATCTTTGTTCAAACCAAAGTGCAAATGAAGAGATACTAAAAATGAAAAGGGGGGGGCAGGTGGTCTTTGTATTCTCAGTCACTGTATAAGCACCACCAACCACAAGGGAGAAAGCAGTGAGGAAACATCGMATCCCACAGGTAAAAAAGTCAAGCAGTGAGTACACTGGACCACCTTCCCCAATGGCCACTTTGGAACACTGGCCACTGCTGTGAAAGAAGTTCCCAGCTTTCCATTTTTCCACCGCCATATCGCTACATTGGAATTTCAGCCCTCTTCCCAGTGCAAATACAAAAATGACCAAAGTCAGGGTTTTATGGCAATCTTCTGCTAAAATATATAGTTTGAATATACATGCTATAAAAGTACGCTACAAAGGTTAATCTTTAGAGCTCCGTTAAAATTTTAAGAATTTATCTTTTTACATAAAGAATAAAGTACACCCAAATCTAAAAGTTTGAGAAAAGCTTTTACTGTGACCCCAAATGTTTCCAGCGTCACACTTTGTTTGTAATGATATTGATTTTGTAATACATGTATTTAGTGATGGTCTCATAATTCTGTCTTGCAATGCCTCATCAAGTACTTCAAATAAAAATGCGGAGGGCTTTGTGAATCTTCAAGGAGTTTTTACTTGTGTAAACAGTCAAATTTTCAACATAAATTCCTATTGCAAAATTTTCATTCTGTTTTCTAAACTGTTGTATCTCACATTTTTGATGATCAACATTTGGTGCTGTTAGTGGGAGAAATGAAATGCAAGAGTACTGAAAATCAATATGTAGGTGGCCTGATTTTAAAAGTGATAATTCCCTCCTATAATAACCCTTTCAGTACCCTTGTAGAGTGGTGTCACAGACACAATGCTCACTGAACATGTCCAGCAGTGGTGAATCAGCTAAGTGGACACCAGACCCAACCCTGAGGGTGTTGGTGCCAAGTGCTCTTATCCTCTGCCATCCCTGTGGTATGCCATGAGGCTGACAGCGCGGGTCCACGTGTGGAACCCAGGCAGAGTTATAGTCTTTTAATTATAGCAGTAGCGTGGACATATAAAATAATGGAAATTTTTTTTTGATCTAAACAAAAATATTTACTTTTCATTAGCAAAACATTCTTTAAAATAGATCTCTATCTCCCCTCTGAACATTTGACCAGGAGCACTGGGCTCTTTGTGCAGGTTTATTGCTGACAGTTCAATACATTAAATATGTCTGTAGGGAGCACACAATAGGAGCTTATTTGTTTCCACTGAAAAGAAACTTACTCTTTTTTGTTTGCTTACAGTGTCGAGTCCACCAAAGGAATGGTTTGGCATTCGTGTGCTTTTTGGTCTTGGTGGCAATCACTTCTACTTGATTTTCATTCTTACGAGAAAAAATAATCAGCTGATGTCCTCAGATTTTATGACATGATGAGAAAGAACAATGGGACAAAGGTTAGCCACCCCCGGGGAGTTGATGTGGGGCTGAGTCTTCTTCTTTCTTCTTAGGTAAGTCTCTGAAGGGCTTCACTGGAGATCTGGAAAGAGGTACCCAAAACATAGGATCGGGGGGCCCCTCCTACAGGCCTTGCTCAGCTAAGCATCCCCTCCTCTGCTTTGGCTACCACACCACTCACTGCCCTGAGCACTGATCTTGCTGTGGGCCTAACACTACACACCTTAGCAAAATCAGTTCACAGGGAAACAAGAAAAAAGCGGAGAACTCGACCAAGAGGGGGCCCAGGCCACACAGCACTGTTTTATGCTGTCTCCTGAACTAGAGTCCCGTTGAGATCATCTGCGGAGGAGGATCCGAACACTGTGTTCTTCAGGCAGAAATCTCCTTTGTTTCTCTTGGAAAGTTTCTGCAAGGCTGTGTTTTTCCAAATAATTTTATCAGAAGTGGAATGCTTTTTTTAAACACACAAATAATGGCAGAAATTTTATCCTCCCTCTATTGAAGTTTGAACCTACCTAAAAGCAGAATGCTTTCTCCTGGAAAATGATTACTTCTTTGAAAAGTGGAAAGTCAGGCTGGAGTGTCACTCAATCCTAGAGCACATGACTAGAATCTAGAATGTGCAAGGCCTGGTTCACTCCCCAGCAACAGAAAACCAAGCCAAAACAACCACCAAAAAAACAGAGGGGGGGGGGGGAAGAAAAGTAGACAATCATTTTCCCCCCATCAAACTCAGCCCTTCAGAAAATACTTCAGACTGTGAGAAGCAGAGCAGACTCCCTGGTGTGCCTTACAAACAATACTCTGTTAAAATCAAAGAATAGCTCCAAGTGCAAAAGTGAACATTTGTGCAAAAGATCCCACTGCCAGGTGCAATCTTAAGATAACCTCGATTTACTTATTTTATAGTGTTTGACTCTTTAAAATACAAGTCTTTTAAATTATGAAACCCAGCAAGTAAGGGGAAGGAAGTTAACATCAGAAAATACATCTTAGAAAAAGTACAGGATATTTTGCTGGCAATTTGCTACTTATTTCACAACTTAGATCAAGTAAGTGTTTGTTAAATATTCACAGTAATTTCAGAGAACCAACATTCATGTCTGTAAAATGTCAATCTATTGCATTTTCAACCATTTTTCTGTACAGTTACAAGATTTCATCTCTCAGTGCTTTTCTGCAGAATTCTTTCTTGTCAGTCCTCCCCTCTCTGGATCCAGCTATACTTTCAAGGTGGGCTGTAGGATTCCTTTCTCAATGAGATGAGTCTTCAGGGTTTTATATATATTTAACTGCTGTTCTGGTTGAAGCACCAACAACTGCTGAAGCACTTTGCTGGGATTTGGACCCCTAAAGATAAGGTAGAGAAGACAACACTGAGGTGATTTTAGTAGAGCTAAGTGAAGCACATATCCATAATTTAAGATAATCCATTCCTCAAGTGTAGAGTAGCAATCTTTACAGAACTAAAACAGCTCTTGATTTCACTTTAATGTCTAAATGTCTGTGTCCTTGACAGGAAAAAATAAAAACAAGGGAACTACAGATATTCAAGAGACAGAATCCAAAGTCCTGTGCACAGCACCAAAGTCCCTACTCAGAGCCTTAGTTCAAAGAGGTCTGAGGCAAACCCCAATGTAGCAAGCAAAATTAAAGTGTTACTTGCTGTATGGGAAAGGGGGTTGAGGGAGGAGAGCCCCGCCCCTGTCACCTGGCCCACCACAGTCCTTGTGGGGAGGAAAGGAGGCAAGGAACTGCTGTGGCCACACAGAGCCCTGCTCTGTCACGTGCACACACAGCCAGTGCAGCACTCCCTTCTCCAGGGGCTCCCTTTGAGTTCACTCCTCTGAGGTCCTGGTCCCGCTTTTCTGTTAGTCTCTTCTGTGGAGCACTTGGGGTGAGATGAGTTCAGGGGAGAACTCTGACCTCATGACCTTTCGGGGACACTACTGTGGTCATGGGATTGAGATCTGCGGCTGCTGGGACACTAGAATTCAATCCATTTATAAACTAAAGATCTTAAAACACTAGTCTGTCGAGAACGAGTCTAATTCAAGTCTTAATATGTTTTGTTTTCTGCACCTCTCACTATCCATTTGAAATAGAGAATACTTTTTGTGGACAGTTATAAGGAAAGTCAAATTAGAAAAAGCAAGACTAAGACGGGGGATGGCACCGAGTTTTGAGAAAGACATTTGCATGGGTAAGTAAATTTGTAATTTACAATAAGAACTGTTTAAATAGAGTTAAAGGAAGTAAAAATCCCAGCAACAAAAAATATCTGCTCTACAGTAGTACTGCAAGGAGGATGAGGAGTGAAAATCTTAGTCTAGAAATCTTTGATCTAAAAAAGTGCACAACAATCCAGATCAGCCATCCCATGGGTCACCTTCTTGCATGTGGCTCAGTTCATCTGCCAAAGAACTGTGGCCAAATACCTCTCACAGCCAGGCTACTCAAGTCAAGACATAGCTTGGCTTATTATATTTCTTCAAAAGATTTAGTACCTGCATAGTGCACACCCAGAGTCGGTGCCCACAGGGAGAAGGCAGGCTATTTTATTTCAGTGAGTTCAGCTAAATGCTAAATCCCGCCTGCAGGTGCTCCCATTCAGTTGCACCCTGGCACCATTGATGCATTTCTAATTGTCTAAATATTTGCTTTCAGATGGTGGACAACAGGGCTCAGCGTGACTTCTCTCTACTAAAAGAAGAGCAGATTTTTCTTAAAGAGTACGAGTTATAAAGTTATAAAGCTGCCACCTTCTGAAAATGAAGAAGTCTAAGGATTTTACCACTAATGACTAATATTCAAATATATTAGCAAATAGATATCATATAAATAGGCTAAATATTCCAATTAAAAAGGCAAAGATTGTCAACTGGGTTACAAAAAAAATACATTAATTAAAAACCACAAAAGAGACACAAACAAAAAATTCAGCCACAAATTAGAAAGAAAAAAACACCACTAAAAAGAAGGATAAAAGAATGCTAAGCATAAAGGGATAAACGAAGAAATACCATGCAAACTCGACAAAAGGAAAGCTGCTCTGGCCATCCTGAGAGCCAACAAATAGGTAGTTAAGGCAAATAGTAAAAATGGGCATTACATAATGAGACAGGATCAATTCAATCCTAAAACTGACAATCCTAAATTTGTATATACACAATGCAAGCTCAAAATACATAATGCAAAAATTGACAGAACTAGAAAGAGGATAAACTTTTAATCACAGTAGATTTTAATAAAGCTCTGTTAGGAACTAATAGAATAATCTGCTCAAAAGAAAGACTTTATTAAACTTCACCTAACATACAAAAATTACATCTAAAACCTGCAAAACTCACATCTGTTTCATGTATGAATAGAATACATATCGGAGTAGATGAAATACTATATGGCCATAAAGCAAGTTTCAAAAAATAAACAATGAAATCATCAAGAATTTGTTTTCTGACCACAGTGGAATTAAGGCAGACATCAATAAAGGAAGAAAAATGAGAAAATGCTCATTTGTTTGGAAACCAACCAATTTGCTTTTAAATAATCATGTGTCAAAGAAGATATTAATACTAGAAAACAGAAAATATTTATAACTGCATATTGAAAATACTTGTAGAAGGGGGAGAAAGAAAAGGAAGCTTACAGTCTTAGATGGCTATATTAGACCAGATGCCTAAAAATTGATAAGTAAGGCTTTACCCCAAGAAGCTGGAAAAGAACAGCAATGAACCTTAAAAAAAGGTAAAGAAATGAAAAATGAAAGTGGAAATCCATAAAGTACAAAATAAACATATTAAGGAAAAAACTGCCAAAGCCATAAGTTGATTCTTTCAAAAATTAATGAAATTGCTAAAATTAAATTATTAAATTAAAATTATTTCTCTTAGCACGATATTCTCCAGCTCCATCCATTTACTGGCAAATGCCATAATTTCATTTTTCCTTAAGGCTGAGTAATATTCCATTGTGTATGTATACCACATTTTCTTTATCCATTCATCTATTGAAGAGCACCTGGCTAATCCCAAAGAATCTAAGGCCGAATTTTTTCTATGATATGTGGAAACTAATTCTCAATAAGTGGCGGGGGGCGGGGGAGCACTAGGAAAGAATAGAGGTACTTTGTATTAGAGGGGAGTGAAGGGAGGGGAGAGGGAATGAGGGTAGGAAGGATTATAGAATGAACTGACATTATGACCCTATATGCATGTATGATTACATGATCAGTGTAATCCTACATCATATACAACCAGAAGAATGAGAAGGTATACTCCATTTATGTATGATAAGTCAAAACACGTTCTATTATCATATATAACTAATTGGAAATTCTTAAAATGCTAAAAAAAATAATCCTAGTACGGCTATAACACCCCCCACCCACTCATACACCCCTACCACAAAAAAAAAAAAGTTAATACAAAAGTTCTTACAATGGGTAAGAAGTATATATTTGCATATATTTAAAATATGTACTCAGGGATCTCTATGAGTTTTCTGCTAAACAATTCTGTGAAGGACATCCATATTATCTATGACTCGGGTGCTATTAGTAAGTGTTCTGCCTCCTGGGAACCCAGTCGAGACCACAAAAAATAAAGTAAATATGTGATTGACGTGGTCAGCCTACATACACCAAACTGGCACTATAGAGCTGATTTAAATCATTATGGTTTAATAACAAGAATAAAAAAATAACAACACCCATCCAGGACCCACACAACTATTTTGTTTTTTCCATGGTACTTACAACATCTAACAAGCTATATTTATTATTGTCCATCTCTGACCCTTCTCTCTCCAACCTCCCAACAAAAATCTCTTGAGAGCAGTGACTTGGTTTGATTTTTTCCCCTGCTATATCCATGCTAGAATATTCTACAACACATAACAGACACTCAAGTAATAATCAGCGGCCTGAATGAATTATGTTCTCTTCCTTTTTAACTCTTGGTATTCACAATCATTGTAATGCCCAGTTGAGAAATTAAATCTCCTGATGTTCCAAATTCAGTACCAATCACATTAACTGGATCTTTCACTTAGTCCTGTGAAGGACCCCAGCATCTATTATTTTTTTGTTTTAGCTGCTCAAATATATGTAAAACATGACAATTTAAGCACACTCCTCAGAGTTACAGCTTTAGAGGCCACTTTGATACAATAGATTATCAGTGACAGAAAAAGTTAACTTATTAAAACTAATGTACTGTTCATGGAAATGAAAACTCAAAATAATCATGTAATGAAAAGTTTAAAATGTAAAATACCTTATAAAACTCGTGATGTACACATGCACAAAAGTGGCCATCAAATACTGACAATCAAATCTGTCCATTATCCCACCATGTCCAGGAATGGTATTTGCAAAATCCTTTAGAAACAAACAAATACATTAACAAATTTGAAAAAAAAAACTATAAAATTCTTATCTGTAAGTGTCTTTCTGGCACCATGAACTCTATAAAGAAAATACTATTAAATTTTCCCACTAATTACAAATTTATTATATCACTTCCAACAGATTAAAACTATATCTTTCAAATATGTGCTCAATTTAGAATAATTACTGAATTGACCCAAAGCATCAAAATAACACTGATTAATCATTAATTAAATCTAGCATTAACTTCTTTCCATTGAAGAAAACTTTCTAAATATTCTATCAGCTATTACTAATCTAATTTCCTTCTGTTTAGCCAGAAGTGATTTGTGAAATATTTTAATGTGGTTGACAGATGTACAACTGGTTCTAACTCATGTTTATTCTAATAGTTCTTATTCTGAAATAAACATTTTACTTCTTTTTTTTGTATGACTAAAAATAAAGAAAGAAAGAAAAAAAAAGAAAAACTCTAAAATTTTACTTCTATGATAAATATTTCTTCTTCTTTTTAGTGTTGAGGTAAAAAGAAAATCAAAGCAGCTAGCTCATTCGGGACACGTTAGTTAGTCCATTAAATGGCCAAAGTGAGAGGATGAGTAATAAGCCTTTGCAAACTGACTTGTCTGAGCACCCAAGAAATGGAAATACCTAATTGCTCTAGCTCACTCAAGTAACCTAAAAACATACAAATGTCAACCATAATCATACCTTCATTTCAGACATGCAAAAAATATTTCACCATTTAATGAGAACTCTTGGACTAGAGACCATTAAAACAAATACCATATTAACTATAAAATTTCTCTGTTTAAAACAATTATTGAAGAACTCTTTGGTTAATTTTTGCCAATCTACTTCCTTCCTTCTCTTCCCTACCAAGTGAAGCATAAGAGAACCACAGCAACTCAATACTACTCTGCAGATGGTTAGAAACCTTTGCAAGGTACTCATCCTGTGTGGCTGCCTTAGATTTCTCTGCAGGATTTATTCTCCTTCTCTTCTCAGATGCCACCTCTCAGAGAGGCCTTCCATGGCCATCCCACCTTCAAAACCTATTCCCTAACCCCTAATGGCATACATTTCCACCTTAACTTAGTGAAACCACATGAGGGAGACTGAGATAACATCACTTCCCTGATGCTCTATCTTAACCAAACAAAATGATTTCAAGTATCAGGAGCAGGGTCAGCAAACTAGGTTGCACAGACCAAATTCAGCCCACACCTGTTTTGTAAAGTTTTAATAAAACCCAGCCACAGTCATTCATGGAAACATTGTCTGTAGGGTAGGGGTGTTCACGCTGCAATAGCAGAGCTCAGAGCTGAGCAGCTGTAATAGGACAGATGGTTTGCAAAACATAAAGCAACTCATTATTTGCACTTCCCCATAAAGAATGTGATGACTTCTAATTTAGCACAATGATAGTTACATATCCAACAGCTCTTCTGCATATTCTGTCAAGTGAGGTTGGCAAAACCCTAAACTCTGGACAATTGGTGGCTAGATTTTTGGATAAACACTTGAAAGGATAACATTCTGTGTTTATACCAACATTAAAGGAACATTATATTTCTATAAGAGGCTGACATGATACTTAAAAATATACTAGGAAGGTATGGCCAAAACCTAACAAAAAGAACACACTCTAACTAGCCAGACAGCATTTTTGAGAAGTTAAAACAAATTAGAGGAATAGTTTTTGCCTAAGGTCTTAATGTAGACCTACAGGAGATCAAATATATAGAGATATATTCTCTAATTATGTTCACTAACAACAAAGAATCTAAATACATACCTTAATTTTGAAAGCTCTTTTGAACCCACTGGCAAAGAAGCCTCCAAATGGGCCAATTAGAGATGCAAATGTTGAAAGAGCAATGCTGTGTATTTGGAAAGGATATAAACTCACTGTTTCCTAAAAAGGAAAAAAAAGGGAGAGGGAAGGCAATATTGGGAATATCTGCATTAAAACTGTATTTGAGAATAACACCTAATCTAGGAACCATGACATAAACACTAATTCAAAGCATATGCCATATTTTTGTTAACTTCTTACAATCTTCACAGATTATAGAAGAAAAACATTGTAAGCTCTCTGTCATCACTGAGTCAGCACCTCTGTTTTCTCGGCAGCATACTACCAGGCACCTGCACACTGAATCCTGCTAATGGTGCAATACCTTCTGTTTCATCCAAGAACAGTGGCAACAATTGGGTTGTAGGGCATACAGCTTCATTAATCTTTACCTATGTTTTGTTTCGTCACCAGTAATACTTTATTTTTGTTGTTATATAATTTAATTTTGTACTTTATTTCACTTAAATTTCATATGATGAAATAAGGGGAAAGTTGGCTCTTTCTCTTGAAACTAATATAATGCAATGGAAACACAAAAATAAGAACTGCCAAAATGAGCTTCAGCAAGACAGTTACAATTACAAAAGATTTAGGGAAAAGATAATAAAAAGAGAATCCTGCAGTCAAATTATTTTCTGAACTCATAGCTTTTGCTTCCCTAAGTACAATTATACAGAAAAAAATAATGTGTGTAGAATGAGAAAGGTGTTTGATAACATGACCTTTTGGACCTGTACTCAAAGCAACGGTCTTACCTGGGACCAAAGATTGACAGCATTAAATGCTTTTACAGCAGGTAACAGGAGGTTTGGACACTGAAAAAATTCTTGGTATTCATGTATTGAGCGGTCAAGAAATAATTTGTTGTTTAATCTACTACTAACAAATTATGGATTTTAATTAAAAACAAAGTGATTCAGACACACACACATGCACATGTGCACACACCCATCACTTGAGCCCCGATTTTAGCCAAACATACATGAACCCTGACAAGAGACCAGGTGGGCTCTCCTGGATAGCATATCAACATCCTTCCATGTGACACCCCAAAGATGCTTTGAGTGGTAGCAATGTGCTCTTGGAAGGAAAACTCATTTTTTAGAAGTTTTTTTGTAGTAATAAATGTCCTCTAAAAATCAAGGGCTCTTTTGAATGATGAATTTTAATTGAGTTTTAAATTGAGTTAATTCATACAAGTAACATGTAAAACTCATTCTAATTCATTGGGCTTTATAAAAATCTATCAAATATTTTAAAATACACACAAAATAAATTACTATCAGTAATGAAATCATAAGGCAAATACATTCCTAGTATACAATTTGCAATATTAACTCATTTTATGTTTATAAAAATCACAAGAAAATAGAGTATATTATTGATTATAAACAGACATAAAAAGCACTTCAATATGACAAAGTTAAAAATTATGCATAAAATTGGTTCCTGTAAAAATCTAAATCTCACTTTTATTTATTTATTTTTTAAATTTTTGCAGTGCTGGGGATCGAATCCAGGGCCTTGTTTATGCATGTGTAGCAAGCACTCTACGAACTGAGCTATATCCCCAACCCTAAATCTCACTTTTAGAGAAAGCTTACTTTTTGAAAGAAAAGATTCCTAACCAGGTGATATTGACCTTATACTCTTACCTGTCTCAATACTGCCTGTAGGAAGGGAGGAAGTGAGTAACTCTGAAGCTGGAAAAGTTCTGTGGGCTCACATTCTGTGACAAAGGAGTTGACATCGCTTCGGTATTCCACTGGGCACACAAAGTACTGATATTTTGACAATACATAGGCAGCCTGCATAACAAAGAACTCATGAAACACTGCCTAAATATAGATATAGAGATACAGACACACACAAAAAATGCCAGAATTTCTCTATATTAACTTTCTGCAATGTTTTTTGTTGTTGTTTAGCAGAGCTGGTGATCAAACTCAGAACATGGCAGGTGCTAGGCAAGTGTTCTACCACTGACATATATACCTAACCCCTCTGCTATATATTTTTAAAGTTTGAAGGTCATAATTTTCCCAGCAAAAGTCTTGGAAGACCTTTATACAACAAAACAGTTTCTCAAAGCAATGAGGTCTCTGTACAACCAAAGCGTGAGGGTGTGACAGGAAGGGAAAAGGTAGGGTAGCAAGGAAGAAAAAGAGAAGCTGATTTTGAACACTTAGAAAATATAGCAAAATCTTACTTTTTAAAAATACAGATATTTAATCATAGGAGCTAAAAAGATATAAAGGACTGAATTTTAAGGATATAGGAAGAGTAAAGGACTGTTGTTTGTTGTACACAGCTTATATTAATGTTTTCAACTAATAATTAACCAGTAATTCAAAATTACAAAGAAAACTGCACCAAATAATATGGTGAAAAGTCTCGTTGTTCTTCACCAACCCAGAAAACTCTGACTTAATTGTTCTTTTCCCTGGCCACATCACTGCAGTTTTTTAAATTAGTTGTCCTTAGCCATGGAAATGGAAGATGCATGAAATAAAATATTCTATTATAAATTTTAATTGCTAGATAACAGTTTATTCTCTTTTTCATTTCTCGTACAGCCACTTGCCCCATTATATTATTTAAGAATGGTTTAAGAAATTCAAATATGATACTAGAAACAGATCAAATTGATTTTGCTTCCAGTTTCCTCAAAACCATTTAGTTAAAAATGTATATGTAATTTCATTAATCATTATTTTGTCATATATTACATTCTTGTGGAGCATCTTTATTTTCTTCCAATGATATGAGCTATTCCTATTGTCTAATTTTAATAATACCAAATTCTAATAGTATTACCTAAAGTTTTGATTATTCTTGCTTTTTGTTAAACACTAAATGGGACTGGATATTTTTTCATTATTACATTTATCAATTGTTACCTCATCAATATACCAAAAACTTTAGAATAATTTTATTAAATTTTATTAGCATATTTTTAAAATTTTGAGACATGATCTTACTAAGTTGCTGAGGCCGGCCTTGAACTTGCAATGTTCCTGACTCAGCCTCCCAAGCAGCTACTACACCCAGATTCTATGGGAATTTTCACTGAAAATAAACTAAACTTAGAAATTAAATAGATGAATTATGGTGGTTTTCCCATCCAGGATAATGGCATATTTCCATTTATTTGTATATTTACTCTTTCTTGAAGTTTCATGTTGTTATTAGTTACTTCATATCTGGATCTCCAATATTTTATATTAATGACAACTATCAGGGACTAGACTCTTAAAAATATGAACTTCCTAACAATAACCTTTTGTACATTTATTTTGTATCTAGTCATTTTATTGTACCCTTATTATTTCTCACTAGTCATCTTTTAATAAGAACACCATAATCATAAACTTAATTTTTAAATATGAAAAATACCCATTATTCATGGCTAAAAGTTAATATTAATCATTCATAATTAAGGTACTTTTTCTGCAACTTAGGTTTACAGCAGGAACCACCCACTGAGCCAACTGACCAGCATGTGTTAAGACAGAGCTCTTCAACATCATTTGCATTCACTGCTATTACTCAAAGATACTGCCTATCCCAGCACCTCTATCCCCACGTCAAGCAGAACAGCTATTAGAGACTACCCAAATACAACAGAACAATTGTGGATCTTATATCTGGCTAAACACAGGACCACCTTGTGGAAGTTAATCATTCTGGGATAAGTCTGAGACATAAGTCTTGTGTTGGGAAATAGATTTTGTTTAAGGTCCCCAGGGGATTCTGATATGCAGCCAGGATGACAGCTACTAGGGTACAGTACTGATTCTGTTTAGTAGGTTTCAATAAGTACATTATTAACATTTAGTGCTTTAATTTTTTAGGTTTAAAATAGACTAATAAACTCAGCACAGTTTCTCAAAATAAATAAAATAAAAAATCCTAGTAAAACTCACAATGAATCCAAACACGACTGTAGAAAAGAAACCGCCAATGAATCCTTCCCAAGTCTTTTTAGGAGACAACTAAAAAAGGCCAAATAAAATTTAAAAGTTACTGCATCACAAAATACAGACTCTGTTCAAGGCTCTCCTCAATACTGTGCACATCTGTACCTTCCTTTTTTCTTAATGGAAGTAGTCTTAACTCTTTTTCCTTCTTTCTATGATCCTGATTTACTTGTGCAAATGTTTTGACTAGCATCTAACACATAGTAGGCCCTCAATCGTGTGTAGCACGCTGTGAATATCTGTTTCTGTTAAACAGCCTCAAATTAAGTTTTTTCCCCCCACACAAAGAGCTATAAACTCCATATTGAAATAGTCATCCCATGACTTTTACGCTTCTCTTGGAATAAGAATGACACATATTCATTCCAAGTACACACTTGGTCAGATGTGTTGACCTGCTACTGGCCAAAACAGAATTGAGTACAATGAAACAATGACATTGCAGCATATCAGATTTTCATATATTTCTAAAATGTAATATACACAACAGATTTCTTTCTGAGATAGTAAAATAATCCATGGCCCCAAATACTGTATTCACTTCCCCAAGTATTCACATATCCTCCTCCTTTTTTTCACAATCTATCTCCAGAAAGAAAGGAATATGTTGCCTATTGTTTTCCTAGTCAGTGGGGCATTCAGGGAGAGAAATTTGGAGGAAAGTCTGGAATTCGTTGTTGCAGAGGCAGGAGAAACACACTGAGGAGTGGATGCTGTTATACTGCCCCAAGATGTCCATAACCACCACATGTGTGCAGGGATTGATCATCAAGAGATCACTGATGGTCTTTGTGATGATCACTTATTTAGAACAACAAGAACAGAAGCCCAATATCAGAGGGGAAATTTCTGAGTATAGAAACAGGTTACAGGCTAAAGCTACCTGAGCTCTTTACAGATTTCTTATCCTGTTGTTCAAAAAGGGCAATATGAAAAATGGTTGGCAGAAAAGGTTTCATGACAAATCTGGAAAGAATTCTGCCTTAGAAAAGGGATGGATATAGCTTCTCTTAGATTCAGTGCCTGTGTTATTGCCATTAAGTAGGAGTGGCCTCAAATTCAAAAGTGTCTAATTAATTTAAATATAGCTTATCAAATCAAGTTGAACTCACATCATGTCAATTTAAAGGTCAGTTGCTCAATGACCTAGGGTACTTTATACTTTTGCTAATCCATTCTGACAAAATTATGTTTCAAATTGGTTACTGAGGGCTGGGGTTGTAGCTCAGTGGTAGAGGGCTTGCCTAGCACATGCGAGGCACTGAGTTCTATCCTCGGCACCACATAAAAATAAATAAATAAAAATAAAAGAATTGTGTGCATCTACTTCTAAAAAAATTAAAAAGATATCATTAATTTTTTAAAAAATTGGATACTGAGATTCCTCTATGGCTCTAACAGTCTTTCTGAAGGATTCCTAAGCCAAAACTAGCCCATATAGACATCTTGAATACTCACACTTGTTCTTATGCTGCAGTAGCTTTAGGGACATTTGAAAGATACATACGTTACTTGGCCATGTCCCTATGGTTCAGCCTAATGCTGTGACTATAATCCTATAGTGGGAATAATCTACGCAAGGTTTTCTGATGGGCATTTCTCCAGAAACACTTTGGCTACCCTGTCTCGCTCTGATTTTATATCTGAACAATGGGTTTAGGCTCTCCAAAACTGCCCTCTAATAATAGCATCAAAGTAGCCAAGTAACGTATATATGGGACTATGATTGAACACTTTGCCCAATTTGTCAACTGAGTGAATTCTATCTGAAACCCTGACATGAAAAGCTTTTTTAAAAAATAAAGAAATCAGTTCAAGAAAATGGTTTCATTTCCATGAAATATTGGTTTGTTTCCTTCTTCCCCAAAATAAGAACTAGAGAATTTAATTCATTTCTTTCTTTGCCTCCATTACCCATAAACAGATCCAAATCTAAGGCAAAACAACATGGTCTGTTCCTGTGTATTTTCCTTTCTCTTGTCTTAAGCTTTTATTATTACTTGCATTTTATCAGTATTTTATTATAGAGCCCCAAATCCTTTTGTGAAATGCATTTGGATGTAAAAAAATCTTACAAATGGGCAAGAGCATATGAAGATGGTGCTTTAGGAAATCTGGTAAAAGAGACAACATGGGCAGAGGGCTAAAGAACTGCACCAACGACTGATGAAAGAAACCAGCAGAAATGAGATACAGAGAAAACATGATGGAGTCCAGTCCTTACTCAGGAGTCAAATGGGTAGCTGGTGAAGAACCCAGAAGGAATTAGTGGGAAATATGGCTCAAGGTCCCTCCACTGCAGCTGCTAGGTGCAGCTAAGGAAAATCAAGGTACCTCAGAAATCAAAACTTGTGTAACAATATCATGATGCTGGAAATGTTTTCCATGGGCTAATATTTAAGGAGAGTTTAGGAATGGCTTGCTTATAACATTTTTCTATTACCTTAATTAAAGGAGTTCTTCCAAAAAAAAATCCAAAAAGGTAAGCAGTAATGTCATTGCAGATAACACTTGATATTGGAACAAGGAACCTTTAAAGAAAAAAAGTCAGCAAAAAAAAGTCTTTATGATTAAATAGCAAATATTCATGTAAGTTCTGACTCATAATGAACCAATGTAATAATGCTTTGGATTACACTGTGGCCTAGTCCAGAACATAACATTTAACAAAAACATTATTTTTAAGCAGTAAATATCAACTAAATTTGCCAATTTAGCAATTAAGCAGAGCAAAATCTGTAAATAAACTAACATAGTAAGATAATCTTGCTAACAAAAATATTAAATAATCGATTTCTACAGCTAGGGACAGTTAAATTTTAGTTTTATGAGGAACAAGTTATAAAAAATAAAATTTCTTTTAAGAAAAGCAGTTTTTTAAAATGGAAATGAGTCACTTGTTTAGACAGAGTACAATCTGCTTAATTTATACCAAGCCCTTAATGCAAATTCTCTTCAGGAACAATTATTAATTTTAATTATTTTTATCTTAGACTGTAATCACATTAAACCCTACTAAATGGAAAGAATCTTTATACTTCAGTAACTGTCCCCCAGCAAAAGTTTTATATGACCATTTTAAAATAAATGATTTCAAGTGTCTGTAACACACATGCGCACATACAAATCTTGGTTAAAAAAAAAAAAGCATGATGCTCAAAAGGATGTAAAATTTATTTTAAAAAACCTCAACAACTATAAAAGATTTTAATTAATGGGTTTAAAATAAATAGGTTTAAGACAAAATTCTGGGAGAAATAGGCTTTTTTTGGGTATAGTCTTAAGCTTTTTCTTCATTCCACCTAATTTTTAGTTAATAAAAACACTTTCCAAATCTATAAGCCACTGCTATGAAGCTAGCAATGCCATTCATCTAGAATCTGGAAACCTACTTCCACATAAAAGCAAATGAAAACCTTCCCAGCTTCGCTTCCACCCAGAGAACATGCATTTCCAGCACACTGAGGTGACAGGCAAACTTCCATATTCTTTTTGCATTCCATGTAAATAATAAACTGTCAAAAATCTATCCTATGTAAAAGGTCACATTATAGTCTATTTGCATGTGAAAATGTAATTTGGGAGGGCTTTCTGCATTTCATTTAGAATTTTAAAAAACATTTTCACTTTATCTTCAACTGACAAATAGTAAGCAATGCTCAGTAATTTTTAATGGAACAGAAAAACAAGAGATAGAACATTTTAGTAGACATCTGCAAAACACTGCTTAATGTTAAAGAGTTTCAAAAGGGCTAGACATAAACATAACACAGCATAATACTGTGCCCTTACCATATCATGCCTTCAAACAGATTTTGGATGACAAGATGTGACTGAGTAACGGTTATCAGTAAAGTGACATGTGTCCATGCGAACTGTTAATAGCCCAATGACACAAAAATTAGTAAACACAAGTGATCAGTGCAGCCAAGGAAGCAAGAGAAATTTTTAAACACAAATTTCTGCCATGAATTTTGGTCAAAATTTGTAAGATAAGGTCATACAAAATAAATGCAGTTAGTGATATTCATTATATTGCCTACTAGAATCTTAAAGTGATGAAAACACTTAAAGGTAAATTTAGTTTTATACAAATTGGAATGCCAGGAACAGTGAGATATACTACTAAATTTAAAAATACACATAAAAAATAAACMGTAATCTATAGTTACATGATTTAAATAATAAAGAGAAATATACAACATTTAAATGGCAGTGTTCTATGGTGATGAAAATTTTAGGAACCATTTTCCCTGTAGTTTATCATTCAAACTTTGAATTATTCTAATCAGAAAGATTCAACAGCCCTTAAATTCCATCTTTTGAGACTTGAAAGTTGATCTTCACAGGTCTATTCAATGGCAGTATTTAATTTCAAATTTTCAAAAGCCTCTATGTTTTATCCTTCTGGCCTAAGAGATGGCTATTTGGATAACTTTTGGCACAATCACTATAAGTAGAATATGAACCAAGAGAGGCTAACATTTCTATGTACCATAAACATTGTCATTTTAACTGGACTTTATGTTTTTTTTAAATAATTGAAATTTTGGTTTATTTTTAACAAACCCAGTTCTCATCTTAGAAAACAGTATTTTATATTTGTTATTTTGCTTTATTCTATCTTTATTTGCTTAAAAGACCCAATTCTTTTATACTAGTTGCTCTGAAATGCATAACTGATTTTTTTTTTCAATAGACACCATTTACACAGTGGTCTCTCCATACTCATGTCTTCCATCTGTGGTTCAACCAATCACAGACTGAAAATAGTTGGTGGGAAAAAACTGCATCTGTACTGGACACATACAAACTTATTTATCTTGTCATTATTACCTAAATAATGGACTACAACAACTATTTATACTGTGTTGGGTATTCTATGTAATCTGGAGGCTATTTAAAGCATTTGGGAGGAGGAGTACAGGTTCTATGAGATGCCATTTTATATAAGGCCCTTGAGCATCTGTGGATTTGGGTATCTTGGAGGTCTTAGAACCAATTCCCTGAGGATATCAAGGGAGAACTGGTTTTCACAGGAGATTCTATTATTTCTAATTTGTCTTGATTCTTTGCAGATTTTCACTAAGAATTTTACTCCTCAGATCCCCTGAAATTAGAAAGGTAAGAAATACTACAATTTCTTAGCAACAATAATTAGCACAGTATGTTGATGAAGAAAAGCAAAACACAAAAATGAAATATAATTCACACCTAAAATGAGCCTTACTAATACATGAATTCACACATCTAAACACTACATTGTATTTTAGTGTTATAAATGGCTACATTTTAAGGAAATAATAACAAGTTCATCATGTAAAATGACAAATTTCATAAAACAGACTTTGATTCACTGAACAAATAACTTATGTCAAATAGAATTCTACAATTCTATCATTAACCATAACTACCAAGAAAATACATGCTCTGCTCTTTTTATGCTCGCATTAACAGCAAGAAAACAAAGATAATTTCCACAAAACAATATAGTAGACGCTTCTCAGACTTAGCAACTATGAAAACTCTCCATAGTTCTACATATTTAGGGAATTCAAATACTTTGTTAAATTTTTGTCTTTGAAAATATTTAGAAAAAGCTTTTAGTAAATTTTGAGAATAGTTAAAAACTTTAATTCCTCAAATACTTGTCAATTTCATTTTTTATGTTTAATAGTCATCCAAAACTGAAATATCTATGACATTCAAGCAAGACATCAACCAAAAAAACTGTTATTTCCTCACTACAGAAAAAGGAGAGATAAAGTTTTAAATTACACAGTGACTACAGAATAATGGTTAATACACACCATATAAAACTGCAGACGATAATGTTTCTTCACCAAGCTCAGTACAAACATGCAGAAACCTGTTCGAGAACAAAAAACATGTGCTTGCTGTACAATTTGGTACAAAGCATAAGATTCCCTGAGCCCAAATAAACCAACTTCCTACATCTCATACAGGCATATCCTAGGAACTTACTCATATGCCATTTTTCCTACTATCTTATATTAAGCATTTTAAATAAGTTTCCTGAGGAAAACAATCTTTCGATCTCCAAAGTGCCTAACATATTCCACAGCACAAATTCAATAAACATCTTCTTTTGCATTAATTAAATAAACTACTCCCTTCCTAATATGTGGATATAAAAAACAATTGAATTTCAGTTAAGTAAAATTTATTTGCTATGTTAATTCATCAAGACTGGGCAGGGGGTGTAGCTCAGTGGTAGAGATTTTGCCCAGCTTGTAAGAGGTACTGAGTTTCATCACAACAAAAAAGTCAATTCTTCAAGAATATTCACAGAATGTTTTCAATCTCTATACAATATGAAATTAATAATAACTATTATGGAAGCTAATATCTATTGAACACATTAGACTCTTGTATAAGCATTTTATACACATTAACTCATTTAATTCTTCCACTATTTCTATAATATAGATACTATTATCATTTCCATTTTATAGATCAAAAAATATACAATAGGTTTTATTAATTTACTAAGGCTCACAGGGCTAAAGTAATTCTCAGATCCTACTGAGGCTCAAGACTCATATGGGTCCACAGAAACCCATGTTAGCAAGATTCAGGTGAAGAGTAACTTAAAATTTCTCAGAACTGTATTATAATAGCTATAATAAAATATAGTACTTTTAATAATTTCAAGATTTCCAATAGTATTTGAATTTATATTTGTATTCATAATTACAATGAGAACATAACTAAAAAATCCTTGCCTAATTAAGAGAATCTAATAATCAAATACTAAAATGAGAATATGAAGTACTTCTTAACCCATATGCCGGTAAACTTCTAGAGATAGCTAGATATGCTTTTTAACAGAGGTGAGTACTGAGAAAAACATATAAACTCATAAATTCAGTCTGATTTCAGATGAACAGTCAGGTATTCTGCAACATCTTTGGAGTAGGTTCCCTGAGAGAGAAAATGAATAATCAACTGATCTCATCAATATAACATAAAACACTGTCCTTTGAGAATCCACATTCACTTACCAAGGCAGTACTACACACTAGAGTAAGCAAGTGTGCTGCTGTTCTCAGAGGAGGAAAGGACCAAACCATAGGTAACTTGGATCAAGACTGAATTTAAATGTGTAAGTGTGTAAGGGAGGGTGACAAAGGAAGCAGGAAGGTTCCTACCTCTTATTTGTCATCTACAGAGTCATTTAACTAAACTGCTACAGTAACAAATATTTTTTGAGTGGAAAAATAACAGAAAGCCATTATGCTATCTGAGAGACAAAGAATGCGGTGAGAGCTAAACCATGGAATTCATGGCATTGCAGTTGCCAGCTGTATAAAAGACTCCTTCTAATATTGTTTTTCTTAAGTTTTTCTTCCATAGCAGGTAGATTTGTCAGGCAGCTCAAGTAATAATGTAATTTCTATACTGATTTATGCCAAATGATCCATGGCTAAAGTTGGATGTAGACTGGACTTGGTGCAAAGGCTCATGGGGAAAGGGAAAAGCAGAGACATGGGACATGCTGCTGGAACCTCCTTTACTGTCCAACAGACCCCCTAACTCTCCCAGGACAAATATCATCAAATGTGAATTACCTCCTCACAAATACAACTCTACAACATATGGCCTTTTTTGTTTCTTGAAATTATGTAGTATTATTTATCCTTAAGCATTTCTTCCAACAAAATCACCAATAGAATCATCCAATATTTTCCTAATGGACACTTTAACTAAAACAGTCTTGGAAACTCACTCTTACTTGACCCAGGATATAATTAGTTGACTACTGAAGATCATACACTTCTTTGACTTAAACTAAGGATGTATAAAGTTTCTGTAGCATATCTAAAGCTAAATATTATTTTTTAAAAAAAACATGCTTTTGCCGCTCCAACTCCCAAAAGAAATAGATATGGTGTATCTGCTCATTCTCACTGTGTATCAGTTGCCTGCTGGCCACCATCACTGAGGTTTTGAGGATGAGAAAGCTGAAAGTTGATCTATTTAACTGGTTCTACAGGGAAAAAAGGAGGGAGGATGAGGAAGAATAGGTGTAGAGTTGGCTGCTTTCCAAGCTGCTCCATGGCATGAGTCAAGGAAAGTGGATAAATAGTTTCTCAGTGAGGTGGGTGAAAAGAGGGATTTTACTGGGATTTAATACTGGACTCTAAGAACATCTTGGAGACTCTGAAGGCTGGATATAATAAAATAAACGAAGAAAATCCATTGCTGCCGGTGCTGATCCACCACAGGCAAACTGGGGAGAGAGACTAAGAGAACCTACGTTTCAGGTGGCACCATGGTGTATCTTGGTACAGTGATATCAGAGATCAAAGACACTGCTGATGAGTTACACTAGATCCTTGTGCAGTAAAGACACCCCAGATGAACACGAGACATGAGAATCAATGAACTAGAATAGAAGACACAGAGAAAAACACACACATATACAGTTACCTCATACAAAGGTGGCATAAACACACATTGGAAAAAAACTAGCCTCTTCAACAAACGGTGCTAGGAAAACTGGAAATCCATATGTAATAAATTGAAATATAACTTGTCTCTCACCCAGCACAAAACTCAATTCAAAGTGAATCAAACACATAGGTATTAGACCAGAAACCATGCACTTACTAGTGTAGGCCCAACATTCCAACATGTTGGCTTAAGAACCAAATTTCTCTACAAGATTCCTAAAGTGCGAGAAGCAAAATCTAGAATCAATAAATGGGATGGTATCAAACTGAAAAGCTTCTTCACAGCAAAGGAAACAATCAAGAACACGAACAGAGAGCCTACAGAATAAGATAAAAATCTTTGCTACCTGCACATCAGATAAGTTCATTTCCAGGGTATACAAAGAACTCAAAAAACTTAACACCAGAAAAACCAAACAACCCAATCAATAAATGAGCAAAAGAGCTGAACAGACATATTTCAAAAGAAGAAATATGAACAGTCAACAAAAATGTGAAAAAATATTCAACTTCTCTAGCAATGAGAAAAATGCAAACTAAAACTACACTGAGATTTCATCCCACTCCTATCTTATTGGCAATTATCAAGAAGACAAGTAATAATAAATGTTGGCAAGGATGTGGGGAAAATGGTACACTCACACTGCTGGTGGGACTACAAATTGGTACAACTGCTCTGGAAAGCAGTATGGGGATACCTAAAAAAAAAAAAAAACATGAACTACCTTTTGACCCAATAATATCACTCCTCAGTATATATCCAAAGGAGCTGAAATCAGCATAGTATAGTGATGTAGTCAATGTTTATAGCAGCTCAATTCACAATAGCTTAGCTATGGAACCAACCTATATGCCCATCAACCGATAAACAGATAAAGACAATGTGGTATAAATACACACACACACACACACACACACACACACACACACACATACAACATACACACGATGGAATATTAGTCATAAAGAAGAAGGACTTTATGACATTAATTAGCAAATGGATAAATTTGGAGACTACTATGCTAATTGAAATAAGCCAATTCCAAAAAAATCAGAGGTCAAATGTTCTCTCTGTTATGTGGATGCTAACACACAACAAGGGATGTAGGAAGGAAGAACAGAAGTTCAGTGGATTAGATGAAAGGGAATGAAGGGAAGGGAGGGTGGACAGGAATAGGAAAAACAATGGAATGCATCTGATCTAACTTTCCTGTGTACATATGTGAATACACCAGTGTATTTCAACATTGTGCACATCCACAGGACTAGGATCTTAATTAGAACAAGAAATATTCCATGTTTGTATAAATATATCAAAATAGATTCTACTGTCATGTATAACTAAAAAGAACAAATAAAATTTTTAAATGAATATATGAACTTCATAATTTTCATTTGTAACCATATGGCCATGTGAACATTTTATTTTAAATATAAAAAATGCCTATATATGTTGCATTTCAATAAATCTATGGGAAGAATATTTTATACCTTTAGGTCCAGTCTTATTTTTTCCCTAATTAGCAAAGGATATTTATATGGCTGTGTTTCCAATTAAAATTACAGATCTTATTAAAAAAGTGTTAATTGGAAGGGCTTCCTGATATATAGCTCTGGAAGTATAATCATGTTTAACTACACTTACTGATCATCACTCATGAACACAATACTGTGCCTGGCATTGTCTGCAACAATCAATTGTGTACATCCTATTGCCCAGTATCAAGGATTTCCTCAGGTGGTTATGGAAGAGCCAATTGTCTAATAGACTACAGAGAAGTATATTCAAAGGACAACAAAAGAGAATGAGATTTATTAAGAAAGTGGGGCACAAAAAAATGAAGCACTGAGAAGTCCAAAAGATGAGACTGAAGAAATTTCAGAAAAATGGACAAACAATAAAAAAAATTACTGGGGATTTATGATATGCCAGACACAGATAGATATAAATAAATAAATAAATAAATAAGATAGGTACTAGTATTCAAGAATTCAAAGTCTAGTTGAAAATACAAAAATATCAAGAAAAAATAAAGTTTTTTTTAATAGCCATTAAGATGGACCCAGGTATGAATAGTGGAGCTCACTAACTCTTCCCTCATTTTTTACTTGGTTACATTTTTCATTCCAATCACCAAACAATCAAAATTCCAAAAATTTCTAACATCATATTAAATAAATGCAAAAGCATGCTGTATTATGTAGGCCTCTATTCAGACACTAAACTACAATTGAGCTGTTTACAAATAAATTTAAATAAATATGCAAGAAATTTTCATATAAATCAATTAATCATATCAGCTGAGATTAAGGAAAATCTTGGTTTTTTTCTTTTTGTGGCACTGGGGATAAAATCCAGGGTCTTGTGCATGTTGGTGTGCTCTACCACCAA